TTGTAGACGTTGTAAACCTTTGTAAGTTTGTTTGTAATTCAACAACTCTGTCAACTCTTTGCAAAAGTTGCAAACTTTGTACAAATTCTTAAGACTTTGTGAAAGTTTTGTAAACTTTGTATAACTTTGTAAAAATACAAAACTTTGTAAACGTTCTAAAAACTGTGTAAAACGTTGCTCTAACTTTGAAGAATAATTTGAAGAACTCCAAAACTTCGTAAAAGGTTTGTAAACCTTTTTACAAAGTTTGCGAATTTTACAACGTCTTAATAAAGTTTTACCAAGTTCTTACACAGTTTTACAAGTTTAAAGGTTGACAAAGCTTACAAAGTTTGACAAAGTTTAAAAATGTTTTACAAAGTCTACAAAGTGTTGACAAAGTTTACCAAGTTTATACCAAGTTCACTACGTTTTTACAAAGCTTTCAAAGTTGGTACAAAGTTTACAAAGTTATACAAAGTTTACAATATTTTAACACAGTTTACAAAGTTTTGAACAATTTCCAAAGTTTACCCAGTTTACAAAGGTTTTACCATTAAAAAATCAATTAAAGACGTATTGAAAGTTTTACAATGTTGCTGCAATGTTGACAAAGTTTTTACAAAGTTTACACAGTTTTGCAAAGTTTTGATAGTTTACAAAGCTTGTACAAAGTTTATAAAATCTTTACAAAGATTGCAATTTTTACAAATTCACATGGAGTTTTTTCAAAGTGTACAAACATTTGCAAACTTTACATAGTTTACAAAGCTTTCACAAAAGTTGCAAAGTTTATACAGTTTACAGAGTTTTTGCACAGCATTGAAAGTTTACAACGATTTTAGAAAGCTTTGGAATTTGACAAAGTTCTTGCAAAGTTCGGAATTTTCACAGTTGTTCAATTTTTACAGAGTCTACAAAGTCTCACAAAGTGTTTACAAAGTTTTCAAAGTTTTTACAAAGTTTACAAAGTTGTACAACGTTTTTACAAAGTTTACAACAGCTTTTTTCAAGTTTACAAAGTTTTTACAAAGTTTACAAAGTTTTTACAAAGTTTACAAAGTTTTCACAAAGTTTACAAAGTTTTTACACAGTTTACAAGGTTTTTACAAAGTTTTTACAAAGTTTACAAAGTTCTTACAAAGTTTACAAAGTTTTTACAAAGTTTTTACAAAGTTTGCAAGGTTTTTACAAAGTTTTTACAAAGTTTACAAAAGTTTTCAAGTTTGCAAAGTTTTTACGAAGTTTACAAAGTTTTTACAAAGTTTACAAAGTTTTTACAAAGTTTACAAAGTTTTTACAAAGTTTACAAAGTTTTTGCAAAGTTTGCAAATGGCTGGTGAAAAACACTTGTGTTTACAACAGATGACATGAAAAACACTTCTTTTCAATTAAAAAATCGTGCAAAAACACTTCTTTCACAGAACTTTACAAAGTTTTACAAAGTTTTTACAAAGTTTACATAGTTTACACAGTTTTTACAAAGTTTACAAAGTTTTTACAAAGTTTACAACGTTCTGACAAAGTTTGCGACATTTGCCTTTTGTTACACAAATTTACAAAGTTTTTACAAAGTTTACAAAGTTTTGAAGATATTGGAAAGTTCACAAAGATTTTGCCAAGTTTACGAAGTTTTGCAAAGTTTACAGAGTTTCGACAAAGTTTACAAAGTTTTGACAACAATTACAAAGTTTTGATAGTTTATTTATTTGCAAAGTTTACAAAGTTTCTTTCTACATTTTACAAAGTTTTTACAAAGTTTGTACAGTTTCACAATTTGTACAAAGTTTTGAGGAAATTTACAAAGTGTTCAAAGTTTACAAAGTTTTCACAACGTTCACAAGGTCTTCATGTTTACAATGCTTTGACAAAGTTTACGAAGTTTAAAAACGTTTTACAAAGTTTGCAAAGTGCTACGAAGTTTATAACGGTCTTTTTTTAAATAGAGTTTACGAAGGCCTACAACATCTAAAAATTTTTTACAAAGTTTACAAAATGTTAGTACAAAGTGTACAAAGTTTGCAATGTTTACAAACTTTTTGACAAAGTTCACAAAGTTTTGACAAAGTTTACACGTGTTTTACAAAGTTTTGACAAAGTTTTCGCATTTTACAATTTTTTACACAAAGTTTTCGCAGTTTTTTACACAGTTTTACAAAGTGTACAAAGTTTTTACAAAGGTTTACGAAGTTTAAAGTGTTTCAGTGTTTAAAAAGTTTACAATTTTAACAGCAGTTTACGAAGTTTTGACAAAGTTTGCAAAATTTGTTCAATCTTTACACAGTTGTTGCAGAGTTTTGAAAGTTTACAAAGTTTTAGAATTTCACCAAATTTTCTACAAAGCTTACACAGCTTTTACAAAGTTTACAAAGTATTTACAAAGTTCTTACAAAGTTTACAACGTTTTGCAAAGTTTTCAAATAGTAAAGTTTACAAAGTTTTGACACAGATTGAAAAAACCGAAACTTTGTAGAAAGTTTGTAAGCATCAAAAACTTTTGTAAAAGCTTTGTAAAAACTTTCAAACTCAATAACTTGGTAACAACTTTGTAAAATTCCAAAACTTGTTCAAAGCTTGATAAATGTCCAAAGCTTTGTTCAGATATCTAAAGGTTCAATACCTTGTAAAAACTTCGTAGTTCCAAAGTTTTGTAAAATTCAATGTACTGTAAGTGTCCAAAAACTTTGTGAAGTTTGTTATTTCTATCTTTAAACTTTGTAGACTTTGTTAAAACTTTGTAATGCAAAAACTCGGTAAAAAATTGTAATTCCAAAACTTTGTCAAATTTTTGTAAAGATCCAAAACTTTGTAAACACTTTGTAGGAAGTTTGTTTGAAGACCTGCGAAAGCTGTTCAAGAAGAGCTGATCTTTGGATTAGTGAGACTGCTTGCATTTTTTGTTAAAAAAACGGCATTTGGTGCTTGCGCTTTGGGAATTTGTGACTGATGGCTGTAGTGTTTCAGGGTATTGAGGGTGAGAAGAAGGGTCGAATGGTTATTGGTTGTGCAAGTGTTTTAAGACTTGGCCACGGAAACACCAAAACACTTCTTTCATTTTTTCCAAATAACATTGGTGCAAAACACTTCTTGCGAGCAAAAACACTAAACTCAAGCAACTTAACATTGAGACTTTGTTGGAGGACCCACAAAACACATTATTCATAAGCCGATTCCAGCCATTCATCTCACCGCAGCAGCTTGCTGACAGGAGATTCTTTCAGCATCCATCACTCAGTCAGCCATGTGGAAACAGCTGAGAGCCAGCTGTGGTCTAGCTAAGTAAGAATGCCTCAATAGTGTGCGTAGGTGCAAGTCAATCCTCTTCGGCAATGTCCACGTAGCCAGAACCTGTGAAACTCAAGAGAAAGGTTAGCCTTCTTGTTCCTAGTAGTAAGGCCAGGAGCCCCTAGTAGCGTCCTTGCTCCTAGTAGCGATGCCCTTTGCTCCTAGTAGCGTCCTTGTTACGTGGTGCGCGGGGAGCATCCATTTCTGGCCGCCGAGACACCGGCACCGCTCAGTGGACTTGCTTTTACCTTTGCCTTTGCCCTTGCCTCAGTGGACTTGCAAGATGGACCGATTCAACGTCTCTTCGTGTGAATCAGCATGACTTAGATCATCCACGAAATGTGAGTTTTACGATCTTCATTAATTCAATGGTATGCTTAGGAGAATTGCCCTGCTTGTTTGCACTTGCGCGTCTCTCTGTGTGTGTGTGCACGCACTCTCTACTCGAGCATCACATCTTTTGGTCTATGCTGGGGTTGGGGAGCGGAGCTCTTGTGAGCAACATTCATGTTCTTTTGGCTACTAAAACGTATTCTTTATTGGACTGTGAATGTTACGCATGTCAGATTGTTTGTAGGGCTTGGGGTGGAGGCAATCAGAATCAACAACTCGTGCATGCCTCAATGAATGTCATTGAACACTTCAAACATCTCAAATGGCCACATGTCAATCATGTCGTGTTTTTTAAACCATGGCAAATTGTGCCTTAATCATCACTCAATTGTCCTGATTACTGAATGCGCTGTTCAATGAGACATATTAGAGATTGAACAGCGCTCGTGCATCATCCACGCTGAAACATCAATGTGGCAAAAAGGAACATAGAGGAAAATCCGTCTTCCCAGGAAAAATCCGTCTTCCACTTCCATGGCATGCCGGGTATGCCAATCCGAACGAACGCTGCCAGAGTTGCCGTCTTCGAACCTTGGTGCTCTGGCCGCCGCCATTTCGGAAGCTCGGCCTTGCGCGAAGCTGCGGAGAGAGGAGCAAGAACGCTACAGTGGACGCTACGAACGGGGCTCCTGGCCTTACTACTAATATGTAGTAACAAGAAGCAAGGAAGCTACTAGTCTTTGAAGCTACTCAGCTACTAGTAACAAGAAGCTATACTAGTATGTCTTTGTTCGCTACTAGGAGCAAGGACGATGCTCGGCCTTGCACGAAGCTACGGAGAGACGACGAAAGATCAGTGCTTGGTCTTTCCGTCGCTTGGAGCACACGCTCCCGGCGGAAGTGCTCCACCACCTGCTGCCAATCAGGTCTCGATTGCCTGGGCCAAGCAAAGCGTGAAGGAGCTTGCCTCTCGGCTGGTATCAACTGTGAAGGCTGGATGAGGCTTGTATGTTTGTGGTGTTCAGAAACGTTCATTGAATTGATTTGATTTTCTGCCACCACAAATCCCACAGATTGTTCTTTGGTCTTTTACTTTGACATGTCGCTGGAAGACATTGGCATTTCCAAAGACCGTCAAAGTCCTTTGAGCGCGGCTGATGGCAACACAAAGTCGCCGAGGGTTGGAAGCAAAGCCAATGCTATTCGTGTGATTGCTCCTGCGATTCGACCGCGGCTGCTTGAACGCGGCTGATCGAGTTGTTGTGCTACACTGGTCACCCTCGACTCAACGAACTCAAGAGGAGTCTGACGAAATCCGCATGTTCGTGTGACCTGACCTGCCCAAATCCGGGCTCCTGACTGTCGAAAGAATGATGTTCTTCTCCTCTGATCCCTGCGAAGCATCAACGGTGACCACCTGCGAAGCATCACGAATGGGGTTCCCCACATCATCACCCCGTTCGCTTTGAGGTCAGAAATGGCAGCACCGCGGTTTGCGGTGCGTGGCCCCCCCCCCCCCGCACCTTGATGCTGCCGGAATCCAAGCGCATGGGCAAAAACTTTTTCAGGGTGTCTTCGAGCAAAGCAGCTTGCGGCTTGTATAGCGTGATGATCATGATGCGCTCCCGTGGGTTTTGTGAAGGTGACGTCGCTCTGCAACCTAGGATTTTCACAATAACGGCTAATTAGAGGTGCGTCCACTTATTGCTCAGACCTAATCAACAAATGTTGGGCCTTGACTAGAGTCTCATCTATGCCAGATTCCTACAGATGCTTCCACACACTTTCCACATGAACTTTCTTCATATTTAGTTTTTATGTTTTCTGTGCAGTGAACCGAACGTCTTTCATCCCTGCAGTCTTGCGACATTGACACAATGTGCATGACCTCCGCGCAATTGATCTTGGATGTGCCCACCTGCATGCACACGCATGCACTATGCTTGTGAGGAACACAACAAAACAACTCTTCCAAGCAGTTATCATACCCAAACACTCCATGGGACTGCCATTTTGTACATACTTTGACCCCTTTTCAACCACCCCAAGTCCTATCGGCAGTCCTATGGCAGTCCCAGGGGTCGTGTCTGCCAACTGCAAGAACGATCGTTGCATTGATTCCTTTGGATCTCACGGACAGCTGGAGCGAACCGCCGCGCAGAACGGCGGACCGTGCCTCAGTCTCCGTGTCTGGGACGTGGAACCACCGCAAAGGAGAGCCATGGAGACGTAGACTGCCCATTTGGCACGAGAGATCGCTCCGGAGTTGGCCAGCATAGAAGAGCTTGGAGACCAGCTGGCACAAGACTTCCGGCATCCGGTACTGAATCCGGAGGGGATGGAGACGACAATTGCAGGCCATCGCACGCTCCATGAAGCTGCGATCGACGTTCTTCTCCTTGATTTCATGGTCTCCACCGGTCGCTAAGACCAAGGGATTCAACTGCTTGTGGTCTCCCAGCATCACCAGGTTCTCCACTCCCATGCCTCAGCTGGAGATACACTGATTTGAGAGTTAAGTGTGCCCTCGAAGATCTAGAAGATGTGACCAATCGGCCTCCAACCTACTAGCGGTGGCCTCCATCTAGTCATGTTACATGCTGACTCTCCCTTGCTCTGCCCTTGCTTGTGTTACATGCCCAATCGTTGGCCGGAGTGCGGATCACCAATGGCACATAGGTCTCGGCGGTTGCAGCTGCTTCATCCAAAATGCTCATTGACAACCGCGATGGAAAATCCTCCGGAAAATCTTCTTGAAGCTTTCTCACCTGACAAAGGAGTACAAATGACATCAAATGAACAACAGCAGTTCATGTATGTGAATTATACAAGTAGTTCCCGGGCAAGCCGGCGGTGGAAGTTTCCTATAAGAA